ATGACCGCATGATGTGGTACTCGTTACTCACAGCACTGGACGCTGAACTCTAGACCTGCGAGGGTGAAGTTCTGTTCTTTACAGGCCGCGATGCAGGACGCGACCGTCATTGTCTGGTCATCTGGAAGCTGAGTGGGCATGATGCGGCCGAAAGCATTATCCCTGGAAAGTCGCTTGGTTAGCATTCCAGAGTTGGCGAGCACTTTACTTACACGTAACAAGCCGCATAGGTCCAGGGCGATGGCAAGCCTTCGTGCACGGGAGACACATCAATGGGAGGGTTACCGCCTCCTCCGCCGCCGCCACCACCCTCATTAGGAGGCCCTGGGAGGGTTCCGGTGAAGTTGTAGACCTGCAGACGACCCGTAAGACCGCGCTAGCAGTGGATACATCGCAGCTGCTTACATTGAGGCGATTGGGCCCCCCACAGAATTCCGAGCTATTGCCGCTGCAGGCCATGTTGCAGTCCGTGAGAGGGGTAGGTGCGCCTCCATTGTCTATCGCGGTATCGCAGACTAGCCCAGGCATCAGCTGCAGTTCGTGTTCAATGTGACATCACGTACAGCACTGTGCGGCAAATTCCATTCCGGCGATTGGGAAGTTCGCACTGAAGCATGCTGCCGTGCATCCCTCTACAGTGAACGGGCCATCGACGTCGATACCGAAGGACAGGACGCGCGCATTGACCGAATCGCTATAGCAGGGATTGCATCAGCACATGATCGTATGCAAGTAACAAGTGACCCACTTGAAGCAACCGAGGGACTCCCATTGACCGACGGATGGGACTGTGATCGGAGGCGGCGGCGGAGCCACGCCGTCCCAGTAGACGCTCAGCCTGTCTGTCAAGACTTCGGTTAGACATCGAGCCAACCTGGATAACCTTCCGTACTTACTTCCTGCCCCGCAGATCTCAGAGGCATCGCCGGTGCAAGGGAAGTTGCAGTCCGACTCGGTAGCATTCGTTCCCCCATTGGCAATCTCATTGCCGCACCCTGTGAAAGTAGCCGTGAGTGCTTAGAGTTCCCAGATGGTTGGTGACAGGGAAGGCCCGTCGCTTACAGCACTCCTGGGCAAATTCAAGGCCTGCGAAGTTGAAGCTCTGCGACGAGCAGAATGACACGCAAGACTCGACCGTCATGCCCGTCGTGTTCGTGAACGTGGCGTCGCCAAGTGAGCGGGCACCTTCATCGCTGTGGTGGGCGCTGAGCGTCTCGCGCAAAGAACCCTGTGGCAGGATTGACGCACGTAAAACACCCAAGGAAGGTATAGTTTGTACCCGGAATGTCGGGCGTGGCGGGAGCCTGGCGGACTCGTACCAACGAGCCATGGGCGACCTACGAGTGGTGAGCACGTTGCCTGTGTGGATGGAGATCAGGGAAACGTACAGAAGGGAAGGACAGTGCAAGCACTGTGAGCGAGGCTGCGAGAGTAGCCATCCTCAGCACACCCAACGGTATCAGGGTGCTGTGGTGAGGCAAGGCAAATGCGCGCAGACTTTAAGTAGGCGGGCACTTGCCGCTCAGGCGGCAGCGACAGGGTAACCCATTGCAGTGGTTATGTCACAAGGTGCAAGTGGTATACCTCCCCAAATCGAATCCGAGCGGCATGGACGACGCCGATGCGTTCGATTCGGCGTGAAGTTGGCTTGCGCGAACCTTACCAGTGTCCAAAAATGTTCAGGCGCGTCCCGACGAGAACGAGCGCTGTCTTCTTCTCGGCAGGTCCACCCAGCTGTCCCGGAGGCTAACCATACAAGTCCGAAGGAATCATCAGCTGTGCAACATGCGGTTTGGGGCCTGTGCAACGCGGCGCCAACACCCGAGGTCACATCTGACAGCGACATCAGGCCTGCTCTACGAGTCCTGTTCCATCCGCCATGTCCATCGGCCTTGCTGATCATCTAGATATACCAGGGGCTCCGGCTGAAGCTGCGCGCAGAGGGTGAGCACGGTCTCACAGAGAACATTGAACGTAACGCCATGAGAATCACCTTGCGAAAGCTACGAGAGTCACAGCTGCCGCACGGCTACCGGGCTGCTCGCCTTCTCGAATCGGGCGTAAAGACAGCAGCCTTACAATCTGATTCTAGGCAAGCGCCGGCTCCAGGAACCACATGGCGATCAGCATTCGACAGAGAGCGAGGGGCAGTGGCTTGAAGTTGCTTCAGGTTTTGACAAGGTCAAGCCGGCTCAGCCACTGATGGAATACTGCGTTTGCCATAAGCGGCGTCGCGCGTATCCTACCGAAGGAGAAGTACGGCCTGAGCGGAGCATCGACAACACGGATGCAAGTGCTCGGCCGTCCCTGCCTTGTCGGGCCTGACAGATACTGGAGGGATGCCTTCCCACGGATCGCGCTCGGATCCTATAAGGGAAGACAACGTACCGGTCTGACTGTCCGTCAAGCTCGCGGGCAGGCGAGACTGGGAAGGGACAGCGCTCCACCCTCCCGAGCCCCGAGCGGGCTTCGGATGGCACGGGCCCGGTCAGGACGCGGCGACAAAGTTCGGCGCCAGCGTGCGGCGCCAAGCTTCGCGGCCCTGCTACTCTATTGCCTCCCAGTCCGCCCTGACATGGACCGTCAGCGGCAACAGGTGGGGAGTGGGACCGAATGCGCCCGGATAGATCGAGTCCGTTGCCGGCGCGCATCGGTCCTTCTTCGATCTGCGATGGAAAGGACCGGCGCGACAGGGCAAGCGGAGTAGGCGTGTCCGCACGATCGTGGTTTCGTGCATTCACTTCTATCTTGTATCCCGACGCCAACTCCATCATCGGCCTCTCTTGTTCGAAGTTCTCGACAGTCGCAAGCCGGTGGAATGTATGAGCGCAGCAGCTCCGCCGGACGATTCGGACGTCGGCGAACGGTTCTCGACTGCCTTCAGCGAGGCACGGCACCATATCATATCATTATGATGAGAGAAAATCTCACAGCGACAGTTGATCTGACTGAGACGTACCTCTGCATGGGAACAGGCCCGATCCAGGTATGCGAAGCGTGCGGGGTCGCAGGTTGTAGCGATCATGTGTGGCTTCATTGGGTGTTTCGACCGCATACCCCACCCGTACTCTGGAGGCAATAACGCAGGCTACGCGATCCGCACATGTCTTGGGACCGCATACCGAGTGCACTCTGCGCGGCTGAGCGGTGGGGACGCTCGTCATTGGGCGACTATAGGGGTGCTTCTTTGGTGCTCTGGTCGATGCTCCCTTCGCTCCAGAGCCTCGGTAGAGGTACAGTAGGGGCAGCCTCTGCCCCGGTCCTCCGGAGTTTGTGCCGGGGCTTCGGCGGAAGACAGGGACAATACTGAAACCCGACAGAATCTGTGTCCAGTACTCGACGGCCGGCCACAGGATACGACATACACTGAAGGCGGATGACAGAGCAGAGGGCACATTCGTCCCTGAAAGAACGACGCCGCTCCTCCAGAAGTGGGTGTTTCGAGGATGCCGCCTGCGAATGCGATCATACCGACGGCTGCGACAGGGGAGATAGGCAGAGCAGAAGAGCTTCTCAGCTCAGCGGCAGCACTCACCTGGCGCAAGGCTTGTGACCAGTACCGCAGCCAATCTTGCCGCAATGACGCTCGTAAATCCGAGGTCATCGCAGCGAATGATTGGCTTCCATTCAGGGAATAGAGCGAGCGATGCCCGCAGGATACCGACTGGTGACGACAGAACTCTTGCAGTCCAGCACCTGCGATAGTCCACGTTCGTGCAGCTCTCAACATAGCGCTTCACAGTGCATAGAAACACCTCACCGGCCATTGGAACCTGTCATTCTCGCCGGGAATCTCTGCACAGATATGCCGCCCTCATAGACGCGGCAGGCACGAGCGGATCAAGAACCGGAAATATTGATACCGGAGACGCGATGCGGGCGTAAATACGAATAGACGAGCGCGTCGCTGTGGAGGTCTGGTCTCAGTGAACGTCGCTGGGCCATTACGAGGACTCACGACAGTGGCTTCCGCATGTCAACAGAGCGCTATGAGCGCGCCCCAACCCAAAACCTGCGCCAGGCGGTTCAGCGGGGATATGGTGGGAGATCGTAGTCAAACTAAAAAGTGAACAATTTAGCCATCCACATCAGAGAGAGACTCGCAAAGGAATCCCACTACCATGAGCATAAATGAGAAGGCGCGGGAAGTGGTCAGATGCGTGAGCTGTTGCTGGCATCCGGGCATCCATGTCGTGATAGCAGTATACGAGTAGACGTCAATACAGAACGCTAACACTCTACCCTGCCATCGGCGTGATTGTGGCACCCACCAGCACAACACTTCGGGGACACGTCACGTCGTCCGCCTCAGTTTCAACGAGAGCATGTTTCGAGGTGGGGCGAACGGCATTCTGACAGTGCAAAGCCACGGGTTTCGCCGTCTCGCGGAGGATCAACCTCGGTGCGAATATATTTGCACCTGCTTCCTCTGCGGCGGTTGCATAGGTGGTTCATGACTTGACGCGCTTGGAAATCTTGACTCGAAAGACTGCGTGCGACGACATCGCCCGTCCTACTGTAACTAGAGGTGTGCTTTGAGGATATTATCAGATTTGCGAAAGTGATTGTGGCCAGCTGTAGCTCACCGAGTAGTGAAGGCGATTGCGACGGCTCCCTTGAGTCAGGGCAGTCGTGTAGCGCAAACTACCTTGATATGGCTAAGCAAGTACTGCGAGAGCTTCCCCAGCATCGCGCATATAGCTAGGCTGCTGCCTGAGAGGCAGCTATGATGCGTATGTCGGAGTCGCTGATAGTAATCCGGTGATGATAAGCAGAGCTGCTTTTCCGGCTTGGGCCCCTTGTGATATTGTGAGAGGTACACAAAGCACAGTGGCATACACATATTGCGAGGATAGAGAATGGACAAGGGAAACTACGAGTACTACTGAGGGCTGGCCCTGGTAACTTATATTATGTAGGACTTGAACGAAAGCTCCCAAAGTTGTGCCGCAAGTAAAAAGAAGCTGTTGTGATGGTTACTTTGACCTACTCATTATGAGGCATTCGTGGTGTAGCGGTAACATTGGGTCTTCCCATGAAAGGTGGCCTAGCTCCGGGTTCGACTCCCGGCGGATGCATTTTGACTCGTCTTCATTTTCTCCAACGAAGCAGTGGAATGGGGAGGGCTTAACAGCTTGGCTGTCTATCTTATATGTATGTCAGGGGAACTCCAGGTGCGCTCGCGAATGGTCTTCTACAGTACGTTATCAGAGAGTCTTATCCACTTACTATTCAGTGCGCCACCTATGTAAGGTCGAGATTCGACTCGTGCTAACGTGCTTGCACAGCGGACGTCCTGCCTAGGGGAGACTGGACTTGTGCGGTGTTTTCAGCGCTCAGCAGTTCGCTGCCACATGATTGAACGCCCCACCTGCAATAGGTTCGGTGCATAATGATACTTTTCGGCTCGGAATGCACCTGCACATCGCATTGATACGAGGCTTCGGGTGCTTCGGGTACAGTATCTCTCAACTTGAGCTCGGCGCATGACACCGCATGGTGATGTCGGTCATTGGCATACTATAGTTGACTATAATAGATATCCTACCTCTCGGCTCTCGGGTCGGAGAGAGGACGGTGAGGCGAGGAGTCGTCGGAGAGCGCAGAGGAGGAATAGACCTAAAAACCAGGAATAGACCTAGTAAGACTCAAACTCGCCGGATGTGCGAGAGACTGAGTGAGACAAAACTTAAGCGACGACGTACAATCCAAGAGGGGCTACGAGCGCGACGGCGGAGACGACGAAATACGAGAGCGGTGAGCTTGAGAGCGAGGCGCGAGAGCCTTGGCGTGCGATGTCAGAAGGCGGCTTTCGAGGGGAGAAACAAGCTATCTTGCTCGATTACAGGGCACAAGCTTTTATGCTACCTACCTGAGAATGGAGAGCCCGGAGAGAGCTAGGAACATAGACGAAGAGAATATAAAAAGGGCGGGAGTACAATAGAGGAGACGGTGAGTCCCTCGGTGCGACGCGCCCGGACGCGGTCACGTGATCCCCGACGACGCGGGATTGCTTGTAGCGTTGCATCCGCGCCGCCAAGAGTCGGCGACCCGCAAGCTCCTACGATCCACAGTGGAGCTGTTGAGTGACGACAAATAAGAGGAAATGAGAATCTATTACGAAACTACACGGAAACACGGAGGAACACGCACCGGAGTCCGAGCTAGTACTGTGCAGGCTGACGCGACTCGACTCGAGTGCGCATCGTCGGCGCTCAGCGCCGCGGACTCCACATCAACGAGGTTGACGATTCAAGAGCTCAATGGTTTCCTACAGGGAGACAGAGGCGTAGAGTGAGAGTAGAAGGGCTGCTGGCTGTTCACCTCATGCGCCCGGTGAGCAGCAGTTTCACACTGGCTATTGGCAGATCAGGACTTCTCTGAGCGCGTGCCCGGCCGCCTGCAGGGATTCTACATGAGTACTCTTCAACAAAGATGCAATCACGCTTCAGCCTTCCAAGCGAGATAGGTACCCCGTGAGAACGCGGAGTTGCAATCCTTGAGGGATACTATATGAGGCGCTCGAGTGGCGAGTACTAGCACTGAATTGTGTAGCACTTGCTCCTGAATGTTCATAGCAGCAGTCGTTAGTCCCCAGCTCATCGACTCCAATATCACCGCATAGAGACAACCCATATATGATCCACCATAACCCTAGAACGAAAAACAAGTGTCCCTAAGCCTCGAATTCCTTTACTAACAGAGTTTCCACATTTTCACGGAGTCGACGATCAGAGCCCTATCCTCAATATTCTGAGGCCAGGTGGAGTACCACTGGTCCTGCAGCTTAGCGAAATCACGCATCGCCGCTAGAGAGGTCGTCGCGTAAGCGACGGCTTGTGACATGCTGAATACATTACTCACTCAAGGAGCCATCGAGCCACGGCTTGTCACCGACGCCATCTGGGAACCATCCGTTGGTGCCGCCCACGGCTACGTTCATGATAAGATTGAAGGGTTGGTCGAACGGGGCGACGTTCCGCGTTCCATTCGCCCACGGGTCCTTCAGCTGGATGTAGTCCGTTCCATTCGCGACGACGGAAGGGAAGCCGCCGCGCTGGAAGAACGGCTCGTCGAACTTGAGCACCAGCATGTACGTGAGGCGCGAATCCACGTAGATCCGGATGAACTTCGGGCTCCATTCGAGCGCGTAGGTGTGGAAGTCGTCCGCGAACGTCTTCCTGCGGTTCGTCCACGAGCCGAACGTCTTGCTAACGCCGTTGAGCCACGAGAAGGGGCCCCAGTTCAGCGACCCGCGAACGTAATCGATACCCCTTCGAACAAAAAGAGGTTAGGACGTGGAGCATACTGCAAGCGAGGGCTTACTCACTGTGCTCGGTAGTCGGGGCTGTTCCCGCGCGCTTCCATAATGTCGATCTCGCCTGACCTCGGCCACGGCCCGTACGCATCGTTCACGGGGAGCATCCACAACGCAGGCCAGATCCAGTCCCCACGGGGAAGCTTCGCGGAGATCTCGACCTTGCCGTACTTGATAGAGTATGGCTCGCGGGTGTGAATCCGCGCACTCATGACGGGCGGGATGACTGTCCCGAGGGTCTCGTTGGAGACGGCGCCGCAGGCGGTGAGGTTCGTGTCCGTGCATCCGGTCAGGTTGTACGTGTACCCGTTGAAGATGTTGTTGTACCCGATGACGTCGGACGTGAGCGTGGGGACGATATACAGATGTCCGTCTCGCACGAAGGAGTTGTTCGCCGAGTCGGTGGTCATCTCAAATTCGCCGTTGCTGCGCGGCGCCAACAGACGTGTCAATCAGCTTTGCCCGACGCGGCGGAACGCGCACAGATGAGAAGACGCACCCAAAACCGCTCATGCTGACCTCGTGCTGCCAGATGTTCTCCGTGTCGAACGTGTCAAAGTTATCTTCCATGACGAGGCAGATGTTCCCCAAAAGGAGGGTCTGGGTCCACCCGAAGTAGCAACGGATGCCTGCCCCGACGACGCCGAGGAAGGAGACGAAGTAGACTATCCAGTACGAGAGGGTTTCCATCCTGTCCTTGTCTGACAGCCACGGCTTCTCGATTGCACCAGTGAGCATCGACGAACGCATTGCCCTCTTCGGGCGGGGAGGGACGGACATCCGAGGTGCTTCCCTGGAGTCATGGAGGGTGTTATGACGGAGAGGACGGGGAGGCATGAAGGAGTTCCGGCCGGGAGAACGCGTCGACGACGCATCGGCGTGGCCATCGCCGCTCCGCGACAACTCTTGGACGTCGGTAGGCGTCCGGCGCACTGCGGACTGCACGGAAATGCGGCTGTCGTGCCGGCGATACACAGGATGCTCCGAGAAGAACGCGCTCCCGCTAAAGCTGATGATGCTCGCGGGAGCAGGGGTGGGCGGAACGGAGTGCTCGGGGGTGACGAAGGGGTCGCGGACAACCTCGCTGGCGCCGTCAGAGCCCTCATGGTGCTCGCTGACGGAGAATCTGGGGCCGCTAGCCTCGCGGCCATCGAATGACGAGCCGTGCTCAGAGGTAGCTGTGGATCCGAATGGCTGCGATGACTCTGAAGGAGGCATGGCCTGGTAGGAAGGCGGAGGAAGAGCAGCTGAGGTCCTCACGAGAATGGCTGGAGTAATAACCCTGCGCGGGCAGTGCAGTGTGAGCGGACCGCCCAGTTATCGGGGGCAACCCTATGAAGGTGCGGCGATATCATCTTTGGATGGTTAGAACCCACGATACTGTCAGTCGGGGACGTCTACCAACCGCCGCGGGACAACGAAGTGACGGGGCTCAACGATCTCGAACGCGCTGCCAAATAGGCGCGTGAGCGCGTCAAGTTCGCATGTCATTTTGTCACTATGAAGGGGCGATCGGCCAAGATCATATGCGAACTCACTATACTCGTGTCCAGCATGAGGCCGCTCTGGTAGCAAGATAGCCACGTCTGGATCGCATCCCCATAGCCCTGGACGCCAGGTGTGGCGCTTTGTGGCTGATCCTGTACGCGTATTCACGGTGTACCGTAGGTCGACCGCCGGAGAACCCTGTGCCAGTTGAGCGGCTTGATAGCGTCTGTGATATAAGCGCCTTACAGGAACGTACAGCGAACACGCACCAAGAGACGTTTTGCGTATCTGGAAGTCCGCGGCGCCGGCTTTTTCGGATGAGGCGCACCACAGCCTTGTCAGCGAGGCAGAGATAGTAGGATGAGCGCCGGAACGCAAAGCCAGGAAATACCTGCTGAGACATGTATAGCACAATAAGAACCCCAGATCGTTCAAGCTGGCTATCGTCACTTAGAGCAACCAGCTTGGATGTCGAGCGAAGTAGTATGTACCATTGGGGCACGAGCCTCTAGGCCAAAGAGCGACCAGGAAGGCATCAGACAATCCCTTCACCACGCCGATAGGAGATCAGCAGAAAGCCAAACATAGGAGCCCGGGAATGCGCATCGATCTTGCACAGGCGGATATGAGACTGTTGTCAAGCAACATTTGGATTCCAGATGAGTCCATCCCAGTGTAGGTCTACGATGGCGATGTTGGGAGCTTTCAGGGCGTTCCTGCAGAACCAAAGTAGTCAAAAAGACAAGGCTGGGAGCACAAAAGAAGTACAGCTGTCGGGGTTGCAAGGCACATTGACCACGAGAGTAGGGACGAGTCCGAGGTCTTTGCGGCCGAATAAATTGAAACGGTGCCGGTGAGCTTCTACAGGGCGTTTATGCTGAGCAGGGACATGCAATCACCTAGGCGAGTGAAGATGGGCCAAGTCAGGGACCTGTCGACAAGAGGTCCCCCCTCGTCATCGTCGTGCATGTGTTGAGAAGCCTTCCGTATGCGTCATCCTGAAGTTCAAGCGCATATGGGGCTATTCCAGTTTCATCTCCTGATGCGGCGAGCGTGTGTTAGCGTTGAGGAGGCACGCGAACATGAGTTCACGGAGTTTCCGAGCAGACGGGATATACCCAGTCTCGCGCGGATCGCTCTGCATAGGCGTGGCGCAGCAACGAATCACTTTGTGACAGCCAGCTTTCTTTGCCTCTTCCAAGGACACCCGCTGCGCAATGACGATATCTGGACAATATTGGATCGTGCAACGGGATCCCACGTCTCGCGGTC